CCCCCCCCCGTGAAAGGGAGGCGGCTGCATCAGTGTCTCCCTGAGGTGCCTCCGTGTTCGGGGACCCTGCAGAGCATTCACTGGGTGACCGCTCCGTGCCCAGCTCACCCCCAGGCTTTGCTGCCGGGTTCCTGCCAGAAGGGACTCATGTCTCATTCATCCACCTGTGTGGATGACTTGTGTTGGAATTCGCTCCGTTGCCAATTAAGCACATTTAGTAATCCAGCTACCTGGTACAGAATAGGAGCTTAATAAAACTTCGTTAGAAGAATGAATGAATGAATGAAAATGAATGAATGAACGAACACACGAAACCTGGTCTGTGACTTTAGATTCGGGCAGGGATTCTTGTTAGATGGGGCTCTGTGGGGGTGAATTCAGGCCAGATGAGGCCTTAGGTGAGTAGGTATAAATTCAGATGGACAGACCTCAGGAGTCTCCGGACCGGAGGAGGCTTATCTGGTTGGATGTGGCCCTCTGGTTGTAATTCCATCCTCAAGAGGCCCCAAGTTTGAGTCCTGGTGCGGGTGCCCCTGGCGGGATCCCACAGAAGGTCAACCCAAAGCCTGGTCAGTGTGGTGGTTATCCTTAGCTCTGGATGCTACAGTTATCCCCCGCCACCTCTCACTCCTCCCTTCCCCCATCTAGCTGAGCCTGAGGTTTTGTTCAAGTTGCAAGAACCTATTCCAGACTGGACATTTCAGTAGTCCTTAGACCTTTATTTGGAGAGGGATGCTTGTGGAGCTGTTCCCAGCTCCTATGCTGAGCAGAGATAGGAGTTCTTAAAGCAGCCTCTCCTGAATTAGGAAGGGACTGTAGACTCTCCTTTGCCAATGCTAGTTAGGTGTACACGAGGCCAAAGCACCTAAGCTTGGTGGAGAAGACACATGGTGCATGAGAGGGGAGGCGTTCACATATGTCAGGGCCACATACGAATGAGGGCCGGGAGGTGAGCAAGGCCTAGAAGCTGAGTGGGCATGTAAGACTTAGTAAAAGCAGGAACCTAGACCCTACATCTTGTCCCTCGACATTCCATCCACTGTGATATGACCTTCAGGCAATGTTTTTTCCTTTTTGAGCCCATTTTCTCATCTGTGGAATGGGGCAATCATGTCTACCTGGAGGGGAGATGGTAACTGCTGACCTCAGGTCACCTGCTTCTACTGCTCACGTCAAATGAGGCAGGTGGGGCACTGCCAGAAGTTGTCAGCAGGCTCTAGAACTGTCCTGGAATTTGTTAAAAGAGGGGGTAAGAGGACAGGGCATTTAGTCTCAGGTTTTCTTGGAATTTGTCCAAAGCCATATCTCCTCCTATACGCAGATGGAAGAGAGAGATGCTTGGAGGGGTGGGGAGGATGGGCTGGGTTTGGGCCCACTCCCACCTCCCTGGGTGTGGGGTGGTGTGTGTGCGCGCATGAGCACGCAGCTGTCATCACTTCTCCATGGCTAGAGTCCTGGGGCAGCTGTGGTTTGGACTGGGGCCTTTGGGAAGGCAGGAGGGCCCTATAGCTCCCCAGTTACTTTCTTTTCTTTCTTTTGTGGCCCTTAAGCCCAGGAGGCCTTGGTGTCAAAATGGCCCTGCCACTCTGGAACAGACCTGAGGCCTGGGAGTGGACTAGGCCAGGGCTGGGCAGGGCTATGGGAAGAGAGGCAGGGAGAGTATCAGGAAGCTGAGGGCACCACAGCACCCGCTCCAGCACTTTGCCCCTGCCCCCTGGCCCCAGTGCTATTTGAAGTGGGACAGGAAGTGGGCAACGGGGTACTGGGGCCCATCGATGCCCAGGCCCTGGCAGAGCCCCAGCAGGCGGAGACGGGCTTCGGCTGAACTGGGCCCAGCACAGGCCACACTGCAGTAGGGCTCCTCATACTGGCCAGGCAGCCGGGCCTCCTCTAAAGATGCAAACTGATTGAAGCGCAGAAGGCCCTGGTCGTGAAGAGCCTGCAGAGCCTCTTGGCTGGCAGTGGAACTCAGCACCTGCAAGTGCTGAGACAGTAGGCCAGTGACACCCACCAGGTGGCCATTGGCCCGTGGGTGGGCAGGCAAGGCAGGTCGCAGGCCGCAGGCCACCATAGCAGCAGCCAGCAGCAGGTCCACACCATAGAGCTCCAGGATCCAGTCTCGAAGGTAGAAGCCGCCCATGCGAGGGTTGATCTCGATGAGCCGAGGCCCAGCCCGGGTCAGCTTGAGCTCCACATTGAAGACCCCATCCAGCAGCCCACAGCCCAGGCAACAGCGGAAGGCCGCCTGCACCAGCTGCGCCTCCTGCTCCGGAACCAGCCCAGTGGGCATGCAGGCTGCCGTCTCAGTGAAGCCAGGCAGCCGCGTGGGGCCATTATCAGAGACAAAGGCAGCCAGCAGTCTCCCACCAAACATCACCAGGTCCACATCGTGCTCAGTGCCCTCAATGAACTCCATCAGCAGCATGGAGTTGCCCCAGCCCAGCCCAATGCCAGGGTGATCGGCCTCACCCTGCAGGTCATGGGCGATCCGTGAAAAGTGCTGGTGACACTGTGATGCATCCTCTACCAGCCGCACGCCCACTGCGCCCGCTCCAAACTCCAGCTTCATGACACCTGGCAGGGGCACCTGGCGGACAGCCCTCTGCACGTCGGCCTCACTCTCCAGTGGGCAGCAAGGCACAGCATAGAGGGAGGGTGAAGGCCAAGGAGGACCTTGGTGGTGCAACAGGTGCAGATGGGTGTGGCTCTTCTGCTTGGCCAGGCGCATGGCAGCTGGGGGGCTGCAGGGCAGACCCAGCTCCTGGCAGAGCAAGGCCGTGAGCACCAGGCAGTCATCCCAGTAGGAGAAGCAGCCATCTAGCTGCAGGCCACGCGTCCGCACCAGCTCTGCCAGCAGCCGTGCATTCTCTTCATCCTTCCGGTGCTCCGTCACATCAAAGTGGATGAAGGTTTGTACCAACTGGGATGCAAAGTGGTTGGGGTCTGAATCCACCAGGTGCAGCTGCAGAAACCACAGAAAGGCAACACACTCAGACCAGCCCAGGCTGTTCGCTGGGGAAACGGGATGGGGCCTAGAAGATGGCCTTGGCCCTCAAGGGAGACAGGTTCACCAACATTAGGTGCTCAAAAAATATTTGTTGGTGATTGAGTAAATGGGAGGTGCAGAGGTGGGACACAGCCCAGCCTGGAGGGGAGAGAAGGCATCCTAGAAGAGGCAGTGCTTCAGCAGGGAGCTGAATGAGAGCCAGCCAGAGGAAAGACAGCTGCAGGAGGGAGAGGGCAGACGGGTGGAGTTAGGGCATGTGGGTTCATTCCCACAGACACCCTTACTCTGGCCAGGGCTTGTAGGGAAACCACCAGGGTTGGTGCTTGGGACAGGTGGCCTGGTGTCTTTGGGCATCGTGTTCTTGGTCATCATTTATCCAATGTGTTCTGACACTGGGAGGCACCCATAGAAGAATCCAGTGGGGCCCCACACTTCCAAAGTTCACCGCCCGCTGGGGGAACAGACACAAAGCAGCTCCTACCCAGGGCGGAGGCAGCCCCTGAAGAGGGCAGGGAGGGTGGCTGTCTGCACGGTCACACTTGGCAGCGTGAGGAGTGAAGAGACATTCCAGGTGAACGCAGTGTGCAAGGCAGGGAACGAAGAGGTATAAGAATGGCTGGGGGCGGGGTGGGTGCCAAGCGGGCGGGAGAGGGGAGAGGAGGCCACCGTGGGAGATTGGGGCCGCGAAGGGCCTAGACATTTGGCCTCCGTTTTTTATCTGTTCGATGGGAATAAGACTGTCTACTCTGCCCGCACGGTTCCAGATTCTGTAACAAGGCCATTGCTGTGGACTTGATTCGGGATCTGTAGGCTGCTCCCCAGCGCCGTCCGAGTGCCCCCAGGAATTCGGTCTCAAATGCAGCGCCTGCCCTTTCTGCAGGATAGGGTCAGGCTTCTCGGCCTGGCCTTCAAAGCCCGGGCTCTGGCACGAACCCTGAATGCCTCCCCCGCGCCCCCGGCCTGTCTGCCCTGGGCTCCGCCTAGAACCGGCGGCGCAGACTTGGGCTCAACACCCAGCCTGGACCCGGGCGGGTGCGGCCCCTGCGCCGGGGATGCAGCGCCCCCGCGAGACCGCCCGCAGGCACCGCCCCCAGCGGTGCTGGCCC